AGATTTCTGCTCTTACATTTATTAGTACTTTTTTCTTCTGTTTACTTGGGTTTTATTTACTTTTTCTAGTTAATGAAATTGGGAGCTCACCTTTCTTATCTACTGTTAAAAGAATTTTTTTAAATTAAATTTCTGCCAGGCATGGTGGAAGTGTCTCACTAAACGCCCAACTATTCAGGAGGGTGAGGCAGGAGGATCTCAAGCCCAGTCTCTCAGGACCAGCCTGGGCAACACAGCAAACCCTGTCTCCTATTAAAAAAATAGTAATTTTCCACCCAAGCCTTACATGAGGTACAGCTTACAAACTTTGAAACATCTTGTCTTCACTGGCTACTTTCTCACTTCCTGTTTGATTTCTTCTTTGATCTGTTTGATTCTTTGATAAAATCTTCAGTTACCAAATATTTAGGAAATGGTTTTGTATTATTGATTTCTATTTTAATTCCACCATGAGCATAAAACATAGTATAATTTGAATTATTTTAAATTTATTGAGACTTGGGTTTTTTTGGCCAAGACTATGAACTGTATCTGAATAAAGTTCCATGTACACTTGAAAAGGTTTTTTACAATGTTATCATAGGTGGAATGTCCATAAATACCACTTAGGTCAAGTTGGATGATAGTGGTTATTCAAGATATATCTTTACGTAGATGAGAGAGAGAGAGAAAGAGAAGCAGACAGAGAGAGAGAGACAGAGAGAGAGAATGAGAATATCTTTACTGATTTCTGTCAGTCATCATTTTAGAAGTATTTTTTCTCTCCTGCTCACCTCTCGCTATGTTTCTGTGATGCTAATGTGTATGTTTCAATCATTTTATTTTTGGGCTTCACTCTGGTAGTTTTGTTACGTGTTCAACTATACCAATTTTTTATTCTTTAATATCTCATCTGCTGTTAATTCCAGCCAGTGTGTTTTTCATCTCACTGTAGTTTTCATTACTGAGATGGTACTCTGCCACTGGAGCTGCTCACTCCACCAGTCCCTGACTTTGTGTCTTCGTCGTCCATCTCCACTTCCCATGCTGTTTTCTCTACCTTCTTGAACATGTGAAGCATATTTATATTTCAGTGTCCTTGTTCTGTAATTCTGTCATCTGTGTTATTCCTAGATTTGTTAACTGAGTTTTCTCTTCATTATGGGATATTTTCCTACTTCTTTGTATACGTGGCAATTTTTGTGTCTCGGGCATTTTGAATTTTAAACTGCTGAGTACTGAAATATACATCACATGCATGCACATATATAAACATGTATATGTGAATATTTTTGAGCTTTCTACTGGAACACAACTAAGTTACTTGGAAACATTTTAACATTTTCAATGTAATCAAGTCTTGGTTTTAAAGTTAGGCAGAACCAGCTGAGCTTTTTGAGCTAATCTCACCCTCACCCTCCCAGACAGTAATCTTCCATGTACTCTTCCACATGCTCCAACTATTGCTTGGAAGCTTCTGCCTGGGTATTGGAAATGTGAGCTACTTAATCCTAGCTTGGGTGAACCCCAGTAGTTGATCCACGTGCTCCTTCCAGGGTTCCTTTCCCAGCCGTGGGTATTTCTGCACACATTTGTGGTCATTCACAGTTGAGACCTGACAAGCACCCACTACAGTTCAGCCAGAGCTCACTTCCCTCCATTGCTCGGTTCTGCAAATTGCCTTGGCTTCTTCTAATTCTCAATTGTTTCTTCAACTCAGGGAGACTGCAGAATTTTTGAGTTCCCCATCCCGTGGTGTGTCCTCCAGACCCTCTTCAGACAAGAAGCTGGGGCTGTTGTAGGGCTCACCTTTACTTTTTCTCTGACATCTCTATACTACCCACCTCTTTTCCAGGGTCTAGAAACATGTTTCAAACACTGTCTGGTTTTTAGTTACTTAAATCAGGGAAACTCAGATCCTGTTGCTTTGTCTGTCCAGAAGTGAAATGACTTGTTAAATGTTTGAATGCCTTACAATTTTCTCCCCCAATCACTGAGCATTTACTGAGGCAGGCTGTGTTCCTCTGCCTGGTAGGGAAATATGTTCTTCCTACCTAACTCCACTTTTGAGTTAAGGAACTCCTGCTTCACAGTAAACTACTACTTTTCATTGGCATTTTATTTTTTTTACATCATTGACCACACAGAAAATCCTACTCCCATGGTTTTTAAAAAGGATCCTAATATCTTAAAAGCCACTGCAACACCTTTAAGGCTAAACTAATCTCCCTAAAAAAGGGAAGAGAGAATTCTTGAGGCATAAATACCTAAAATTGAAGAAAACACAAGATACCCATCTTAGGTTGGAAACCAGCAGATAGTAGCTATACACTGCACTTGTTTCAGAGGGAGAACTCTTACTCTTCCCATGTCTTTGCAGGGTGGATGATTCCTGCAAAGCAGCCCAGGGTTTGACCTAGTTAGCATGCTGCCCCTTCCTGCTGGCTGTGACATCCCTCTTAAGAGCCTGCTGAGCAGAGCATGGGCAGAGTAAATGAGGTAGCTGGTCGAAGAGCATCTGAATTGTACCACCCTTGTGTTAGAAAATACAAAAAAGGGCCTTTTTCTCCTGTGGTGAGCCACCCACTAAACTCTCCCCCAGGTGCTGACCTTCAGCTATATTCTGTTCTCCAGTGAGGACAGAAAAGGGGGCCTTGCAACTAAATAATGGGTAGCCTCACAACTGGCTGTCAACTGTGTTTAAACTGTAGATTTTGCCATGTACCTGTGAGGTAAGGAAAGCAAGAAAATACTCTTAATCTGAATCCTTCAGTGGTCATGACAATGAAGGTATAAAAAGTCATAGGGGAAATTAGATCAAAGTGGTTTAATATTTTCAGAATTATTTCTACACAGTTTAGAGTTTTTTTTTTTTTTGGGGGGAGTACTGGGGTTTGAACTCAGGGCCTTTACCTTGAGCCACTCCACCAGCCTTATTTTTGTGAAGGGTTTTTCGAGACAGGGTTTCACAAAATTTTTGGCCAGGCTGACTTAGAACCATGATCCTCCTGATCTTTGCCTCCTGAGTAGCTAAGATTACAGGTGTGAGCCACCAACACCCAGCCCTCTTTTTTTTTTTAAATGAGACAATGGGGAAATAAAGTCAATACTCTGAAGCCATCTAAAGAATATTCCAGAAACACGAGACACCAGTGGCTCATGCTTGTAATTCTACTTGGGAGGCTGGGATTGGGAGGACTGTGCTTCAAGACCAGCCCAAGCATATTGTTCCTGAGACTTCATCTCCAAAATAACCAGATCAAAATGGACTGGAGGTGTGGTTCAAGTGTTGGGGTGCATGCTTTTTAAGCACATCACCCATGAGTTCAAACCCCAGTCCCACCAGAAAAGAATATGCCTCAGTGTTTAAGAAGGGCAGACTCTCATTTAGATAATAAAGGATGAAGCCTATTTATAAGCCTGTGAAAGCTATCTTTGAACACTAACATCTGATTGGGCCTATTAAAAAAGGCAATGTATTAATTTGAACTTTGGCTTTTTGTTGAAGTCCGGTGCTGTCCTAGCTGTGCCGATACAAGACTTTAGGTATGTTACCAGTGTGATATGATAACACAGGTGGCCTGGCTCTACCACCCTTTACCCTTAACCAGTGTTTTTCCCGCTGGAAATGGTGGCTGATACCACCTGCCCCTCTTGGCACTGTTTGCAGTAGTATTTTTATATGTTGCAATCTTTTGAACAGTGTGTTGCAGTCAACGCTCTTTCCACGCATTACATTATATCAAACACTTGAGTTGAAAAGGTATCACATTTCTCACGCAGATGAGGAAATGGGGAAGTTCCAGAATCAAGAAGGGCTAAATGACTTGACCAGTATTCCAAGTGCCCAGACACAAGCAAAAACAGGCTTGTAATTACAAATTTACCATTCTTTTGATGGAGTGTGCTGCACTTCCACACAGGATTGGTCGAAGATACTGGGAGTCTTAAGGCTAATGTTTTGATGGGTTTTTGTTTTATTTTGCTTTGCCTCCCTCAGCACTTTCCCAACCAGGTTAGCTTGTATGTAGCAAAGTGTTAACTTCCTCTTAAGAAGCAGCAGGGTCTATATACAGCATGAGACTGTCTGGTCTCACATCAAAGAGCTTATGGGAATGACAGTTGTTTTTCTCACCACTTTTCCATTACTGCCTGTTAACTGTACTATTGCAAAACGGTAGTTTTGACTGGATTGATATAAAGCATATATCAATCCAGTCAATGCAGAAAAAGAGTAAAATGCTGCCAAAGGAATGTTCCCAGGGATTGGTCCTCATGGCTTCAACTTTGGAAAGGTGCCTGACTTTAGAATGTCAGGTTAGTCATTAGGAGCACAGAGGTGAGGTCTAAGGCTTCAGACTTTCAAAGCACTTTTCTGACATAGCTTGTGGGGTACTTTCATGGCTGAGACTTAGATGCAGATTCTTAAAGTACCTTTTTTGGGGAGGGGCATGCTGGGCATCAAACCCAGGACCTTAAACATGCTAGGTAGGCGCTCTACCACTGACCCACATCGAGTCTTCTCCCCCCACCTTTTTTCTTAAATGACAAAAACCAAATATATCATATGCCCTAATATCTCCTGCACCAGGAGATATTTCTAAACCTCTCTCCCTTACCCTTTGAGATCAAAACAAATGATTATAAATTAGGTATTATTTTTTTTTAAAGGTAACTGACTTCTATTACCAGTCTTCTCAATATAAAGTCTGTGTTGATATTGGTAAAGCATACATAATGTTAGGGGCAGGCAGGAGTGCTGGATGGTTCAAAGTGAGATAAATAAGTACAACTCACCCATTAGATGGACTTCATATTTTATGGCAGGTGTCACCAGGCAGTGTTTTACACTGAATGTACAATATTATAATAATTTTCTTCATAAGACTGTAATGAAGGTAATGCTCCTATTCTACTTTGTATACCAAGATCTGACACACAGTAGGCATTTAAAAAATTGTTTTTGATGTGACCAAAATTATAAAGAAAAAAAAGTACAACAAAAAAAATATGTTTTGTTGTTTTTTTTTTTTAACTTTTCACAAAGGATTTGCTGTAAGTCTTCAAGTCATCTTGTCCAATCCAAAAGCTGTATTTAAGCGTCGTGGATCTCAGCCAGGGATGCAAGAATCTGACTTTCTAAAACAGATAACAACAGTTGAAGAACTGGAACCAAAAGCAAGTAACTGCACCAAGGTACTCATTTCACTTATGTTGTTTGACCTGGAGTGTCTGTCAGTGTTGAGAGTGTGGCTATCCAAAATATTTCCCTCCTCTTTAGGTTCTCGTGTGGCACACACGGACAGAGAAGGTTAATCTAGCCAATGAGCCAAAGTACCTCCTGGACACAGTGAAAATTGAGGTATAAATTAAAAAGACAGCTGGCACAATTTGCCCAGCCAGTGGACATGGAAGAAGAGGATGTCTGGAGTTTATAGGCTGAAGATCATTCAGGTATTGTTCCTTTTACTTCAGTACAACAGGCTTCAATGACCATCTGATGGACCCCTGTTTAAACACAGCTTGTCAGTTAACATAAGCTAAAGGATGCTAAGGAATGTATGCTTTGTCTTCATTTGTTCTGCATGTTTTCTCTACAACCTAAGTGGAAGATGTTTGTACAATACTGCTAAGTGACACTGCAAGCTACTATACTGAGTATCTTATATTCTCTAACCCCTACCCTCTGCCAATTTGGCCGTATAACTGGTAGAACTGAACAGGTTTTAAGACCAATGACAGTTATTTTGTCAACTAAACATCCCAACTCTTGACTTTGCGTCCTAAAATAATGTTTGGAAGGTTGGTGGCCATATATATTGTAGGAAACAAAACCCACAATAAAAAGGTCAATGGATTCATCTGTTTAATATAGGGAAATAACATTTTGTCAGTACTAGGCACCATAAAATGTAAACACAATTACTGTCATAAACCTGGATATACCTTCAAGGATTAAAAGTGACTTTGTTTTAGTTACCCTGCTTGCATATAGTGCAGAAAAAGGTCTTCATGTTAGCACTATGTACATAAGAAGAGATCCAAATTACAAGAGAGGGAGATAAAACTTGAATTCTTTACACATTCATTAAGTTTTATAGTAACATCCAGGTTTATCTTCCTTTCACTAACCACGTTCCCTGTTAAGCACATCATAACAACAGCACAGTGAAGTGAATAATGAAATAAAAGGATATTGATACACTAGAAAACAGTGCTCAGTGATACATTTACATTCTATTTATATGATTAAACATTTGATCATACAGTACCTTCCTACAGGATTACTGGCTAATTTGGGGATGGGGTTTATACTGTTAGAGGTATTACTAACATGATAACTACTTCCCTTATATGCGAACATTAGAGCTATAATTTTATTGAGAGTAAAACCGATTATGTAAGTTGAGCAGCTTCTCAAATAATGTGGTTTTATGAAATTATGGGAAATATGAACAAAGCTGCCCTTGACATAAAGTAGTTTCTCAACCTGCTTTTCACCACATCAAATTTAATCAGTAGAGATCATCATGGTCAATCAGGTAATTCTTAATATGAACAAATTGGGAAAAAGAAAAATATATATGTACATGAATAAACAGGAGAAGTAGATGCGTTTTAGCAAGGAATGTCAGGTATTGGTTCTGGATGAAACTTGCATTGCAGTTTTCACTTCCACAGCTGTGTGCTCAGAGTCTGACCCGATGAGCTTCCTGACCATCCTGCTGTTGTGTTGGGGGGCTGGCCAAAACCTGTTGTAGGGTTTGCACTACTGATACTCATTCCAGCCATTTGCTGATTCATCTGTGAAACACATAAAAGGTTTAGTTTAAGAGGATTACTTCACTTTTAATTGTTGCTTCTTTAACCGCTGCTGATGTTTTTTCATTAATGTGAAAATTAGTCACAAGCACTGGGGTAAAAGCAAACAGCTAACTTTGTTCCCTTCTAGATATTTTCTTCTCTTTTTTAGCATTGCTCAAAAACTAATCTCAATCATATTATATTTATTCACTTTTGAGATGCAATTTCTTATCTCCAAAGATTAACCACAACTGAAAAAAAATGCCAAAGTAATTCTCTGAAGTTTCCATCTGGGTAGATGAGTATATTATGAACCCATCACTATCCAACTACACACTAGGATACTTGAGATATAACTACTAAGGAGTAGGAAAATTTTAGAGAGTAAAATATGTTAAAATTATCCTATAAAGTTTGTATGATGGCTATAGTTACTCTCTATTAAAATCTTAAATGACTGTATATTCCTTTTTGGTGAAACTTGGGTTTAAACTCAGGCCTTTGTGCTTACAAAGCAGGTGCTCTACTGCTTGAGTCACACCTCCAGTCCATTTTGCTGTGGTTATTTTGGAGATGGGGTCTTGGGAAATATTTGCCTGGGCTGGTCTTGAATCATGATCCTCTCTATCCCAGCCTCCCATGTAGCTAGGATTACAGGCTTGAGACACTGGTGCCTGGCTACATTTTCTAAATATTATAAAAGGTCACAAAACATACTTTATGTTCTAACAACACAAATTAATTTGTACTGTATGCTATAAAGTATAAGACTCGATGTATTTTTCTTCCAGATTGGAGTTTGTTTATAAGCCTCTTAACCCTGTTGTTCTCTTACTTCCAAGACTGATGATAAGTGAAGCAAAAGTAAGATTACAGTATAAAGTACGGAGTGAGTTCAAAACCTATGCTCAGGGTAAGACTGTTAATATGTGGTCAGTATTAACCACGCTGCTGATGTGTCTTCTGAACGGCAAGCAGATCATATCTTCATACTTCAGGATATTTTCACCACCTTGTCATCAGCAATAAGAGTCCCCTGACAATACTGGAGAACAGTACCCCTTCTGCACTATCTGGAAGTCAGGGCCAATGTGAACTCCTCACTGGTTCACCCTGCACCTTAGTCTGAGCTGGGTTGTGCTTCAATGCTTTGGCCACATAAAAGCTGTTACCAGTGTTTGGCATTTACAATTTTTGGGATTCCCACTGAGTAAATACCAGTGTCATATATATTCCTATAAACCATGATTGCAAAAAACAACTTGGAGCATTCTTGGTATATGGTTGGTCAGACATCACTCTAAACTATTCCCCTAAACATTTTCACGGTAAAACTATGAATCATACAGTAACTAAGACCACCAAAATGGTGGTAGAACATCAAATACAAAGTGGGTGGGAACATGAACTTAAGTCTAAGGGCCTTTGTGTATGGAGCTAAAGAGAAATGTCATCTCTTGACTTTAAGCTAACTTAGGCAGAAGTGAGTTTTATTCGAGGGGATGCCCGAGACAAATATAGAGTTGTCTCTACCTTATGGGATTCTTAAGCCAGTAGATAGTCTTTTAAAATACAAGTCATTGTAGGACATATATGAAAGAAATACAACGTTACAAGGATTTCTGAACAAGAAAGTTTTTACAAATCCATGGGCAGTAGCCACGAGACTTAGAAGACAGCTGTGAGCACTCATAAAATTGTGCTTGGAGACTACAAGGCTAATTTGTGTGTGTGTGTGACCAAAAAAAAAAAAAAAAAAAGACCCCGCAAATTGACGAATGACTGGCTTAAATACAAGGTGGACTATAACAGTGCAAGAGGGCTGGGTAAAGCTTGGCACTAATCTCCCTCCAGCTAACAGGGAGCTTCTCAAGATTTCTACCTATTACGAATAGATTAGGGATGGTTCACCATTACAGTTGAATTTCTATCTAACATGGAAAAAATGCCTACTATTTATTTACAGAATACTCTAAAAATAAAGATACTGACAAATCATTTGTTTATTTGAAAATCATTTGTCTATTTGATAAAGCTGCATAATATCTATGGACACTTTCGACCTGATAATGTTCTCTCTACTTAATTCTTTTACTAGACCATTAGATTTCAAAACAAATAAAACCACTCAGAGAATAAATGACCCTACCTGTGAGAGGCTCCACTGAGGCTGTTGAGCTTGCGGCAAGCCAAACTTACTCTGGGGTGCACCCATCTGTCCCACCATTCCTCCTTGGGGGCCAACATTTTGAGGAAGTGGCATCATACCAGTTTGTGCATTTCCCATAAAACCATTGGGCATGGGCATGCCCACCATCATGCTTGTACTCGGTCCCATCACATTTCCCATAAGGGCAGGAGTCGCAGGCACAGGTACTCCCATTGATGGAAAACCTTGAAATGCAGCTGGTGCTTGTGAGGTAAATGGTATATTTGTAGGTCCCATAAACACACCTGTATCATAAAAACCGTAAGTTAAAAAATGAATAAAGAAAACAGAGCTATTGCATATAGTACACTCATCTCTACAGACACAAAGGATTATCATCTTCCTGATCTACCTACAGAAATTTTCATTCCAGTCCAGCTGTTCCTCCTGCTCAGAAAAACCCATACCTAAACATTCAGTGCTGGTTATTTCCAGAATGCAAACAAATCAATTATTAGCCTGAGCAAATTTAATTAGAAAATGTAAATCTTAGGCAACAGCCACAAAAAAATATCTTCATTTGAAGACCAAATTACACAGCATGAGAGTATACGCTGTCTCTGTTGACTTGCACCACTGAGTTGACTAGAGTTGTCTTTATAAGAAAGTAGGTGGGTTGTCATACAGCTTCAATCCTATTTTAGAGGAAAGGATCCTGACGGATTAAAATAGAATTTGTTTTGTACATTTTTCATTAAAATAACAAAACACTTCTAAGTTTTTGGAATCAATGTGATAATTCAAAGTGCTTATTGTTTACCTGCAGAAGAAATACTACTACAGTCATAAATTTCATGTAAATCAAATTTCAATAATTCCTCAATGATAATATCCTGTAAGCTTGTGAAACAATACTAAGTGGTATGTGAACAGCTTGTTTTTTCTAAATTAATAAAGTTTTGTGAATCCCGTATTTGCTTTCTAATTCTAATGTTTCATTCATTTCAGTTTCATAGTAGTGTAAACTACAACAGAAACATCCACTACCATAGGAAAATAGAAGAAATGTAATTGATACTATTACAATTACAAATGATATACTTTTAATAGTATCACTGCAATTCACTGAGAACAGATTTCAAAATTAATTACCAGGAGTGCTTGGATGTTGAATAGTTCCTGTACCATAGAGAGATAAGATGGAGTCTTTGGAGAGTTGTTTCTTTGCTGCTTCTTCTGATTTTGTAGTTTGTTCAGTGAACAGATCCAGATCCGCAGATGTTACTGTGGATAGTGTGGCAGCTGCTGGTACAGAGGATGTCCCCTGAGACAAACACCAAGATAAGCTGTTGAATTCTACATAATGCAGCATAGCTCATCTATTACTTAGAAACCAAATAAAGTTATGAAATTAGGCAGGAATTAATTATAGAAGGTAAAATGGCAACATTCAAGAGGATCATTCACAAATGCACACAAAACATCTCAAGTGAAGGTACAATGTTTCTTAAATAGAATGTTTTTATAAGAATTGGATGTCTTTTGCAATAAGCTGTGCTAAGTGGCTGGGGCAATGCAGGTTCTGTTCATCACAGCTTGAACAGAAGGGGTCCAACAACAGCTCTGTGGATACTCCCTGAGGACCACCATTATTGCTACAAGGACTGGTATCCCTTGGAAGAAAGAACATTTCTATAACTAGCAGACTGCAAGAAGGTCCTACAATGGGCAAGTAAAAGGTTTTACCTTTTCAAAAACTACAGACAATTTTTATATATCTAAACTAAGTCTGTGTTAACATTAGAATGCTCCTAATCATAAATGAAGTACAGCAAAACTCTGATCACCTATACACTCAACCATATCCAGCACTCTATGTGGAAGCAAATAAATACAAGCATATAGGTATTTAATATAAAATAGTATTTTTCACTTAATCTCCTACATCTTGCACACAGTACTGTACAACCATTGACAATCTTGCTTAATGATCTGTGCAGTAATTAAATATTCAATCATATTCATATTTGCTTATATGGACTTATTTAAATATGAAGTTTCAAAGAATTCTTTGAAGACTAGTAAGAGCTGGCTAAGATTCTTCTCAAATTATAGATTAAGGTAAGTAATAAGTAGAAATTAAATTCAGACAGTTGATGTCATGGCTAGAATACCATGCAATAACTGCCCAATATTCTACTCACAAACTAATTTAGGCAGGACAACATTACGACTAATTGAGCAAGAATTCTGAGATAAAAGAAAAGGCCATTTTTTGTTTGCGAGAACTCTGAAATGTGTAAGAAATCCAATATGATGGAATACCAACTGTAACAATGCCCTTTAATGAAATATCTTAGCTACCAATGAAGAACCGTGAGATCAAAGAGGCTAACAGCAGAGGCTGCAGCCAGCCTTAGCAGGATTAGAGCCCTAGCCCCGCAGCATAAAACAGTGTGCCTAGATGTATCACTTAACTTCTCTCATAAAATGGGGGTAGGTTTGATAATTACAGGAAGTGCTTTGCACAATGGCAGAGTTAACTATTAGAGAATGTATTGTTAGATAACAAAGCAACTACATCACTAAATGATTTTTTAAAAAATCACGTTTAGTTTCTGTTCAACCTAGGTATCTGCTGAACACGTTGGGGTCTATTTTCTGTGGATGCACCAAAGAAAAACCCAAATGGTTGGGGAAAATATAATTCTCGTCTCATAGTAGAGCAGCTTAATATTCACATGATGTAATTATCATGAAAGCAGGTAATACAAAACACCTACCTCAACATGGACACGGTCTAAAAAAAAAAAAAAAAGGCCAATCTAAATGGTATAGCTATTTGCCATCATTACAACCCCAGGATAAAAGGAGAACAATGTTTGCCTGTCCTTTCATACTTCAAGAAGTCATAATGCCTCTAATCAAAGGTTCACCAGTCTTTGTGTGTGTGTGTGTGTGTGTGTGTGTGTGTGTGTGTGTGTGTGTGAGAGAGAGAGAGAGATAGGACAGGAAAGGGGCTTCTGTACTGCCAGTGGGACTCTGAAAGTGTTTCCCACCTGCAATACCCTGCCCATGTATATTTATATGCCTGTCAGGTAAGTATTTCCAGGCTCCAGCCAAGTAAAGCAGATGATAAGTTTACATGTGGTCAAATCTTCTCTTGGAATTTGTACATGCTTAGGAAAAAAAAAAAAGGAAAATCAGAAAAACACAAGTGAAAGAACAGGGCGCAAAGTAATTCATAATCTTGGTGGTTAAACTAGTTTAAGTTCAATTTCATGTACTAAAAACCATCAAATAAGTAAATTACACAGCACCAGCATATACACAGGCATGCATGCACACATACCTATATTTATAACCTGTAGTTCATTTGCAAAGGCATTGTTTGGAAAATTTATATTTTAGTCTTTATATGTAGTTTAGATGAAAGGTAAATATATTCCCCAAACATTTTTTGGACTCAATACCACTGACACAATTTTGTTTGAAAAAAAACATTCCAGTGTCCTAGAGAATTACATATGCTTTAACAAATTAACCCTGTCATCCTCGCAGGTATTGATCAGAATGTATGAAGGCCAGTCCTGCCCCTCCTGAGGCCACGATCTATGCCCCACATTCGTCATCATAGCACTACTTACTTGGCTTGAGAGTTAACAAAGTGCACAGTTCTACTTGATGCTATGATACTGAACAAACATGTCCAGGACACTAAAGCCTCAGAAGTGGGGTCTAATTCTCTAAGCAGTTGCAAAGCAACTCTCATACTCCAGTGGAATCTAAAGATGTCTAGGAGATGTAACTGCCTCACTAAATGCTAGACTGAAAGAAATTGCTTTTCATGCTCAGATTTTCTTTTTTTTTTTTTTTTTTAAATGATGTCTGCGTTTTTAATTTTGTAAAAGCCATGTTCACAGCACACTCCAAGCAATGGTCTGCTGTCTTTTGTTAAACAGAGTATGTCAGAAAACAAAACAAAAAAATTTTAAATGACTGTTTTAAAAATTAGTTCTCTGAAATTTCTGTAAACCCAATAACTACTAGTCATCTAAATCTTTTTGTTTCAGAGTAGTAAACATTTCAGAAGTGTAATGAGACTACCCAAAATCACACATCTCTAATTCAGTTAAAAGCTGTAAAAGAAACAAAAATACTTTTCTGGAAAGAACATATTTGACATTTTAAAATAATGTTAAAAGAAGAGCTTTTTCAAATGTAAACCATGTCTAGGTTTTTACTTTCTACTACCTGACAGAAAGTTTGGATCTTTAGTGGTTCCAATGCAACCTCAGTAAGGAAGAATAAGGCTGTAGACAATGAACTTCAGTCCTAACGAAGCCAGAGTACTTTCCCAGCACCCTACTTGCTTTTTTTATGTAGTGTCTGGCCAGTGCTTTAACTATTAAAAGTGAGGTCAGATAGCTCAAATTAGTTGGTTAATGTGATACCCAACTTGCTTTATATATATTTTTTATCCTCTGATTACTTAATACCTCTAGTTTGCTGTTTCTCTCAAAAATCAATCATCAATACATACATAGTTTTAGTTGAAATGTAAACTAAAACCTGTTTCATCAACTTCACTAAAATATGTCAAACATGGCTCTTATTTTCTGTCCTTCCAAAGAGTGATTTACTTTTTCATTATAAATGTAAATCAACCAGACCATGAGTTACATTCCAACCATTTAACCTAAATGTAGAAAAGTTAAAAGTTAAATTTTAAAATGTGGTTGATTATGAAGTTTTCTGAGGGGTGAGGAGGGCAATACTAGGTTTTGAACTCAAATATCCAAAATATTTTCCTAAGTCCCAACATTAGACAATCTTCTACTGCTTCAAGCATACCCATACCTGTACAAATTCCCTGGTAATTAATGTTAACTAATTGAAACAACAGTGACAATACTTAGTCCCTTTCTTTCTGTGTGAAAGAAAGGACACTGCCATAAAATAAGCTGTCTTTCCTGAAAATAAACACTACTGCTGATAAAACACAATTTTGATAAAGATCGATGTAAACTAATTACTTCCTAAGAAATGTACTTGTTAAATCCTAGTGGTAAGTACACAGTAACTATCACAACAAAAATACATTTGTCCCTTTCTTCAATAAAATATTTTTAATGCATACAATTTCTTATAAATTGCAAAACATTCACCTGTACATGAAAAAGTATATTCTCATGCAGGTCAACAGCACCAGAAAACAAGCTACGCTATGTAAAAGGTTTTCATTAAATTTGATTTGTCCAGTATGTAAAAGACATAATGGATTTAATAACTCCAAAGAAATCTATATTCCACTCTTAATCATACACTGAACATCTGATTATTTATTTCATCACATCCACTCACAAAATAAACAGTCTAATCAGCACACTGAAAATCAGCACAACCAATCTTTCTTCATGTATCTGTTCTCTTTCCAAAAATGTTTTGGTCTTCTGCTACACCTCAGAAGTGTATTAATAGCTGCTTTTTAAGTTACAAAATACAAAATAACAATGTATTTCTTGGAGAAAATCTTGGCGATTATTGTTTAAAAATGAAATTTTGAGTCCCCACAGACTTTCTCTTTTGTTAACAGTCTTAACTTTCTCATGGCACACCATAAGGTGACATGGTACCTGGCCTCCAAATGGACATACTTGGCATTGTTCAGAGAAAGTACAAAGACAAGTTCTGAAGATAGCGTTGAAAGAAAGTGCTCTTTGCTTTGATAGATATAGCAACATCAGAAGCAAGTGGGACTGTGCAATCAGAGCCATGCGTTTTATGAAAACTACTTTCCTTACACATAATTTGTGTTAGAGAATGCCACAGCCATTATCATGTAACATTACAACTGTGGAATAACATTACCACATTCATGAATTAATATTACCCAATAAAAGACAAATCTTCAAATATGGAATTAAGAAAATCAAAACAGACAAGAATACATTAAAAAATCAAGCACTTAATTTGTAAGCCTTGATAAAATAACAGCCTATTCCAGTTTCTTCAAAGGTTTGAGAACTTGTTTAAGCATGGTCAGGAAGTAAAGAAAGACAAAAGGGAAGACAGGATTTGGAAACAAGGCCAACATTAACTTAAAAGACTGGTAAACTTTCCTTTTTTAATAAGCCACAGAAGTGTACTTTTATAATATTGATGCAAATTAGCATCTATTATAGAAAACACATACTCAGAAGTGACAGACATTACAACCTGATTCTTCCTACCATATTCTAGAACTTGAATCTAGCACAATGGTTCCTTTCTGTACAAATAACTGTACCATATCATTAAATGATAGTAAACTTTAAACTACCAGAAATCTTTTGGCTACAACAAGCACTTGATTGTAATTATAGATTTCAGAGTCTGAACATTGAAAAAATATTCAGTAATTCTCAAAAATATATCTAAGAAAACCACTTGAAGGGAGGAAAATGACGTAAGTGGCAACAAAGAAAATAATGTTCTAAGCCTATTTTATTAAATGGAATTTTATACTACCCTTAAATCAGTTTCACTGAAGGTATTTGAGATGGGTGAAGGAAGTCAGTACATAGGATGTTTTACTGCCAGTATAAAAGATCTTTGTGGAGAGTTAGGGAGTCTATGCCTAGTGATTGAGACACCTTTCATGGTTTTCAACTTTAAAATTCAATCCTTGCACTTTCAAATTCACTTCAAAATGAGGTAATCTTAAAGGACTGGGTCACATGGTCCCATCATGGAAGGCTAGCAATGGTAATCTACAATACCCAAATTTGAAGAATGAAGTTTCATGAATACAAATATACAAAATATCTGGACCTGTAAAAGAGTAAGGACTCTATAGATCAACCCTTCCTACTTCCTATTATCCCCCACTGTCCAGTGACTTAAGATAGCCAGAACACTTATCCTACAAGGTTAGTTCTGACTGCCTCCACCCCTTCACATATAGAGTCAAGGACAAATGCTCTCTAGCATCATAACTCATATTTTGTTGCTGACTTCTTCAAGCCATATCCTAAGTCAGCCTGATTAGAACTGCCTGGAGGGGAGCTGCTTCCTAATTTTTTAAACTATTACTGTTTCAAATCTAGTGTTTGAATAGTATCTTCTTACTACACTTTTCTTATTAAAACTTTTTCATCTGTACAATTCAGATTTGGCTCAGTTTTTCCTACAGAAATGGAAGTATTTTATTCCTTTTATCTGTAGTGAATTAAAATAGTTTGCTTATAAAATTTACACATAAAATATAATCTTAATATTGTGTGATTAAGAGTAACTTGTATCTTGAAAGTTCTTATACAAATGTATTCATCATTAAAATGTTTTATAAAATCTTGATATTATTGCTCTACATCGTTTTTTTTTTTAAATCACTCACACAAAAAAACCCAACAACCAAAACAAAGTAGGTAGGTTTTAAATCTAACCGAAAATATAACTTGCCTTCCGAAAGTAGGATATGAATACTGAATTTGCTAGAACTTCTTATTCTAGTCAAAATTTAAAAACACAGTTTAAAAACCTCTGAAGAAGCCTAACTGATTTTTAGGTCAGGTTGAAGTAGCTGAATTTTTCCACCGGTTCAACTCTAAATACAATTATTTCCCTAAATCAGGGATTAGAACTTGAAAGATAGTAAAGTTTAGGGCTGGAGGCATAGCTCAAGTGGTAAAGGGCTTGCCTAGCAAGTGTGAAACCCTGAGTTCAAAGCCCAATACCACCAAAAAGAAAAAAAAATTATGCTTTATGGGTCATACAGACTTTGCTGTAAGTATTCAACATTGCTTTTGTAGCATTACATCAGCCAAAAACAATATAAACCAATGGGAGTAACAGTGTTTCAATAAAGCTTTCTGTAAAAACAAGCTGCAGGCTTGTTTCATTGGCTTCTCAAAAACAATTATTTCTAAGTTAAACTTCTGAAGCTTTTCACAAAGGAAATAAGCTGCAGTCATATAAGACTACATTTTTTTTTACCACATACCTGAGCTGGGGGTGTGACAGTTGCAGGTAAGGGATTGGAAATCATCGGTCCGAAGATGTCCAGATCATCATTCAGGGCTGGCAATGTGGTTGTATTCCCATTGGTCACTGGCGCCTCAGCAGGGCCATCTGAAAAGAATATAGATTTCTCTCCTACTATAGATTCTTTTAAATCACCTGAAACATTATTTTAAAGAAAAGTGGTTTTCTAAAAAGGACAATTCAAAAGTCAATGAAATATATGTCCCCTTCTACCAACCAGGATCTGTCCCCATTCCCAAAGAAACCACTTTCTGTTTTATTTCCCAGAAATATTCTTTATCCATCATCTTCTCAAGCAACTGATATACCTATTTGACACTATTCCACATACTGAATTTTTAGAAATGACTTATCATTTTTGCCTACCTTGGAAATAAACTTTGATGATTTAAAATAAAATGTTTCATTTTAGTCACAATAAAGGGAAACAACTGGATAGGAAAACCCCTATATGGCACTTAAACTGATCCTGTTGGAAGCATTCATAAAACTCTGAAATAAATCCTTTTTGAATTCAAGAGCACCTACACCTTTAGAGATGGCAGTACTGAAATACTGAATTATACAAGAAAGGTATTCTGACAGTTTCCTACTGAAAAATTCAAATTAAAAACTTTAATTTTAATAATCCAAAATCCTTTCCATGTTACTGAACCAAAAAAAAAAAAAAAACTGTGTGTGGGGCTGTGGATGGGGGAGGTGGTGGTGGAGTGAAGTGCAGTGAAGAGAGTTTGCAAGCACTGTGTTCCATGGAATGGAATATTTCACACAGATTAGTTTTCTTTAAGTTCACAGCATCCCAACTCCAATTCCTTGGGACTGAGAGCTTGAACTTTCTTTTTTTTTCAGTTTTGGAGATCTAGTCCAAGGCCTTTACCTTGAGCTACAACCCTTTAATCCTAATTGGTCTGTCTAAAATGTACAATCCCATTTGATCTTGACAGACCATACCCTCCTCAAAGGCAAATCAAGCATTTTTATAAAATATTTAACAGATTTATAGTCTTCAGTATTTCTACCACAATCCACAAAAACTCTCTTGCTATAGAAACTGAACTTCCTTATTTCCCTGTTTAAGTTTCAGTGAATTACAAGGAGTCATTAATACCACTGAATAAATGGTAACATTAAAATATTTTTTCCCTATTTATATAAAAGCACATGGAATCCAAATTAGTTTAATTTGGAAAATAACAATAGCAAGTAAAAAAATATATGTACCCAATATGTGCATTGTACATGTCATATCTATATAAACCACTATGGATAATTGAAAGTTAAGCAATAAAATGATAGATTATACTTCATGATATATAGAATTTTAAATACACAACTACCACTTAAGAGAATTAAAATATGACTTACACATTGAAAGTATGTTTTTTCACTTCTAGTTCTCTACATTGCAACATTCATTTTGAAATTAGACCCATTCAAAGAGCTATCTTATGTTGTCTATTTCCTTTTAAGTATCAACCAAACATAAAGCAATATTTTAAATGGACAAAGGACTCTAGATTTAAAAGTACAACTAAAGAATACCTTCTTTATGGCATCTATAAACATTTCAAAGAAACAAATAATAATGAGATGCCTTAACCCGTAAGTATCAACAGAAGTGCTTAATTCTATCATATGAATGAGGAAAAACTTTATTGGCCGAAAAATGTACACATAACTGTCTGTCTATATTTATATATAGATGCTCATAATTATGTGTAATCTCTATAGACAGATACTTATGTGTACAGTTATATTTATGTATATTATATATGTATATATGAGTTGAACACAAACGGAAGCAGATGTGCTCCAAAATAAACTAAATCAAAAGAAATAAAGTACAAAACAAAAAAGCTGACATGTTGATTATAAGCAATTTTCAGGTTGTTGTTGCTTTTTTCAAGCAAAAGCAAACACTAACAATTAGGACAAGTTCATGGGAAAAAACTCTCAATTGATTTTGTACCACATAACATGGGTTTAATTCACAGAACACCATTGTGCACTGTGACAGAACCATGAGGGCCATTCATTACAAGACCATGACAGGTTTTCATTACATTTACAAACTGTATCTCTCTGAAATTCTGTCTGTTCTAAATAGTACATTATACTCCACTTTGAATATTTACTTATTCTTTTAAATCTAAACCCTACTTAGTATTTAATAGTACATTATAAGACTACATAACACTCTTATATTTGGCTTTTGAAGTCTTTACTCCTCAGCCTTTAGATTACACATATGACTAATAACTCACCCAGTGTCACAGAGCTACAGCAAAGCCTGGATTGTAGTCTTATTTAATTTTTACTCTAAAAGCAACACATGCTTGGAAGAGTCAAGCCATGAAAAATGAAGAGACCAAAAGTCCCTGCCATGGTTGGTGGTGATAGTTGCACAATAATGTGACTGTACTTATTGCCACATCTATACACTTAAAATGGTAAACTTTATGCTATGTGTATTCCACAATTCAAAAATATGTGTAGGAAAACACAAAAATTCTTTATATAAAATTATACATTATGTAGGTGGGAGGGTTGCATTCTATTATACTCAGTGAACTTATTACAACTTAATTCATGATTCATGAACATTCATGATACAGTTTTCACCATGACAAAAGCAGACAACATAACAAGAACATCCACATTCCTTAATATAAATTACACACAGCTCATGTCCCTTACTGCAAAGCAATGTGACTTTTGTTTTCACCACTGCATTGAAAACAGGTTCATCCTCTCCCAGCAGCACCTGGCTTTTTTTATTTTTTAATTTTTAAAAGTGTTCTCTTGAACTCTCAGTATTCCACAAATACTCCTAAGTTCTTTGTAATCACCTACCATTGGTTAATGCAGCAGTTATGAATGCCAACCCAGTGTAAGTAAGGCACTGAAACCCCTTGGAATGAGACAGAGGAAACATATGCACAGGGACAGCTATCTTTGTGGCAAGGTTGATAGGGTTTTCAATTGACTGGGGAAGATTTTTCTCATACCTCCAAATACCTGATATAAGAAACTTTTTCCCAGGCCTGACCAATGTTTTTCTCTACCAAGAAAACTAGCAATGGGCACGTGACTCTAACATACCCATCCTTCTTTTTCTCTCTACTCCAATCTGCTCCCTATATGATACCTTAGTAATGGGTTCTGAATTTCACTCTCATCAGTTTTCCTTGTTTTACAAAAGCTACATACAACACAGACTTGTTGAAAAATTCTTAACCTAAATGAAAACTTCTTAGCTTTGTAAATCAGTCAATACAAATTCCCAATGGGTTTCAATGTTTGCTAATTTTACTTACCATATTTTACTTGTTAAAAATATTTCTTAAGAAGGATTGTTTCATTATGTAGTTCTTTTTTTTTTTTTACTGTACTGGGGATTGAGTTTAAGGCTTTGTACTTTGGTAGGCAGGCACACTACCAGTTTCAGCCACTCTGCCTGCCTGGATTATTTCATTTTGAAGGTCATTGTGTTTTTAGTTTTCAGTATTTAAAAAGAACAGATCAAGAGTCATTATTCATTATTGTCATTTAAGTATCTCTTTTATCCTGAATGTTTTTAAAGAATGTTTACATCTCAATGAAAGATGAGAAGGACTTTCCTTCTACTATCTCCAGTTTATTTTTTTATTTTTATTTTGTTCTTTTTATTTATTTATTTATTTATTGTTTTATTATTCATATGTGCATACAACGCTTGGATCATTTCTCCCCCCAACCCCTTCCCTTACCATCCACTTCGCCCCCTCCCTCTCCCCTCCACCCCTCAATACCCGGCAGAAACTATTTTGCCCTTATCTCTAATTTTGTTGAAGACAGAGTATAAGCAATAACAGGAAGGAACAAGTGTTTTTGCTAGTTGATACTATCTCCAGTTTAAAAACTAGGGCACACAGATTTAAAGATTTTCAGTGCCCTCACCTAGGTAAACAGAAAAGTTTGTACTAGACTACAGTCTTCTGATTCCTAGGCCAGTATTCTTTAAACTACATTTTATCAAAAGCCATGTAATTACTAGTATTATCTAATTATAAAGAAATCACTTAAAATTATGAAAACTAAAAACCAATCTTTTAAGTAATTTATAATCATTCGAACTAAGTTGAGAAGCAGGAAATAAATAGTCAAAACCTTATTTCAGGTTGCACTTCAATGCTTCTTTATCATCTCCTCACTCCACTGTCCTTATACCAAGCCCAGTATCTTTTCAATTTTTAGGGACGAATACAGATAGGATATGGCTGTTGACAAACTAGGATATAATAAGCCCTCAATTAATGAGGAGTATTCCAAATCATTGGGACTTAAATGTCGTCTTCTGATCAAGGGCCCAAAATAATCGCACATTCTTTTTTATTCAGAGGTCACAAAAGCTCAGAGGCCACAAAAGCAACAGAACACCAAGATACTGAAAAGACAGTTTTCACAGAAATAGTTAAAAAATTTAGAAAGAATAATGATTGTTCAGTTTAAATGTTTAAACAAGGCATATCACCATAATTTAAAATATTTAAATCAGCATGGGCTACACAATGCCTGTGCATGTGCATGTGTGCACGCACACACACATACACATCCAGACAACTGAAACTTCCTCTTCCAACCACACAGTGCCCTCCATGAGATAAAGGGATGCCTGTGCAAATAGGTAATCAAAATTGACAACAGACATGCATGCATCTTGCTGTGTGTTCCTTGTTCAGTTACAGAATGGTGGTGGGAGCAGCCAGCAGCAGAAGGAGGCAGCAGCCCCTTTAATCAATATGTACAAACAATAGTTTGTGGACAATAAAAATAATGGCAGATCCAGAATACAAGAAAAGCCTAAGGCAAATGGAAGAAATTTAGCTTGGGACATCATCATAAAAGAACAATAATGAAACACAAAGGACCCCTTGAAAAGGCAATGAAAAAAATAAGAAATTAGGACAAGGCAGTAAACTGAAAAAAATGATTTCAATCTTAAAGGCAAGGCATCAAACCTACAGTTAGTAGCTTGTGGGTAACTATTTTCTTTCTACATTACCACCTTAAGATTTCAGGCTAGCACATTTGTTGTTTTGTGAACT